TCTCGAAGGGTAGGTGCACGGGCGCAATTTCTGTGCTGCCATCTTCATGAACACATCTCAGTGTGAGCCACCAACCCTTGTCTTCAACATGCTGGATCACACCTGTGGCCCACCGCACCCAGATTAATTAGCGACATCCAAAAATGACAGCACCCAGATAATACTGTGCACATTTTCACGGTTGCACTATGTAGCTCTCTGATGGGTTTTCGGGTTGTTACCGCATGTTGTTGTTTTTTGGAACGATGTCCGGTGTTTTGCTGCACGTGCTGGGAGCTTATTCAGGAACGGAACTAATGCAGTTCCTGAAGAAGCTCCCAGCACGTGGAACGAAACGTCGGACATCGCGCCGAACAACACGACACGGTAACAACCCTAAACCCATCGGAGCACCAAGGTGCTTTTCATCATCAAAGGTGACGTCTAACGCAAACATCAAAAATGACCTTTATTATTTTTCATACAGAAATGATACCGTGTTTACATGTATACCGCATTTCAAAGATAATGACCTTAATATAACTTACCAATACATTCATTCGGAATATGTTTATATGGCTCAGATAATACAAAAAACAGTGACGTGTTTAGAAGTATAACTGTGTCTACAATGGTGACTGTGATGTAGGCGGTAATCTACATCCGAATATGCACAGGGGATCTGCCAGAGGTTATTTTTTGTAACAGTGTAAAAACAGCTTCGGGCCATGAGCCCAGACCAGATGCTTCACTTTGTCGGTACCACCTGGGTGAGGTGGCATGACAGCAGTGGTTCCGATTCTTTTTTGCTGTGGCCAATCACAGTAAATTGCGCGATAACTATTTGAAATGAGTGCATGTGGTTATCGAGTAATTCATTCTGTATCGGCCGTAGTAATGAATCGGTGTGGCTAACGATGTGCTTGCTACCTTAGGAGGTACCGATTTCTGCTCTAGCCCATCGGCTACTTAGCTCCAAATTCAATGAAATAAAAGGCTTGCAACCGGACGTACATGCGGAACTTGTGAAAGTGTTTGCATCGCAAAATCAATGCTTTGTCAACATCGGATAAATTGCTGCGTTGCTTCCTCAGTGGCGACGAAAAATGTTTTTTTGTAATAAAAAAAATAACTGGCTCAGCCTTAAATTTTGATTTAAAGCTTTCGTGACTGCAGGGATTCATATTTTTGGTTCTTTCGTGACTTTACCGAAAGAACCAAGAATATGGCTCAGCCTTGCTCCTATTAACGTAGCTCAGTCAGGAGGCTAAAGGGACAGTTCCACCTGCGACTGTGGAGCAAACCAAACCGTGGCTCGCAAGGTCACCTTTCTGATCGCCCATCGAGGCCCTTGAGTGGTGGCACCAGATCAGTGTTCTTTACAAATTTTCAGACGGGGGTCACTTTGGCCAATAATACATCGACAGTGTGAACCCATTGGGGGGTTTTACAGCAGCACGATGATATTGGGGGGGGGGGGGGGGTGGTGGCGTTTTCACGTGTTGTGTATTTGTCGGGGGGCCGCACGTCAGGGGCCGCACGAAAGACCACCAGTGGCCTCAAGTGGCCCGCGGGGCCTTGTAATGAAGAACGCCGCTCCACCAGAGGGATTCACAGCCAATGCCGGTGAACGGCCGTGGATTGATACATTTTGTTGCCTTTCGAAAATTCAGTTGATGTATCTCTGCGGTACCCCACGACATGTGGAGGAGAAGGTTTGATGCCGATCTGCAATTGCCAACGCTCTCTTTAGCGGGACGTGAGACTGCCTTCAATCGCGGTCGATTTCCTCAGCAAAGATTCATTCCAAATTTGACACGTGTTGATTTTCATTACGGTTCAAGTGGCGCCTTTCTAAGCTAATTAATGAGTTTGTTTTTGCATAGCGACGCAATGGCAATGTGTCGTAGCATAGTACACCAGTATTGTAGACAACTACTTTGAGTATATATCGACACACACAAACACGAACTGACAGCGGTGATAGTCTTTGTATGGTCGTGCGGATTCAATTGCCACATTTCTCTAAACCGAGCTCGCAAACTTACAAGAACAATCGCAATGTGTCAATGTAATGATGTGTTCAAAATACTTTGGTTAACTGTACTTTATTTAGTCCGTACATTGTTGACAAAGTCTCAGCGAATCGTAGCTTAGTGTGTATCGTAGAGTATTTTAAATTTCATTTTAAAATATGAAATATATATTTTCCAATATGTATAGGTGACAAAAATATATATTTGAGGAACGTGTTAAAAGAGTGATTTGACATTATCCAGTAAACATTCCAACGTTGGGTCGACGTTGGCATGTGATTGTAACCATTCGGCCCAGCGTTTGCTCAGCGTTCCATGTTTACTCAGTATCTGTTCCATTGCAAAGGCCAGGTATTTTTTTTTATAATCACACCAGCAGCGGCAGCACCAGCAGAAGTTCAGTGGAATCATATTCACGAATGATGTTGTTCAGCTGCAAGTACATTCAACTATAGGGACGTTCACTCGGCATGGAGTAGATGCCTGCGTCTGCGAGCAACAGTGGTGTCCGGATCGCCACACGTTGGGGCTTGCACATTTTGCCCGAAGGTCCGAAGGCAACAATGTCTTTAAATATATCTGACCATTTCTGCTGACATTTTATTTTCGCCGATGACTGCGTCGTGGCCGGTATGGGAACCGATAATGTTTTTGTCTTTCCTTCCGATATTCGGAAGCCACTGGAGCAAGGCACTTTTAAACCGTCTACATTGAAAATATATTTCTTTAGAACTGCTTGTTGTGTTTAGTTTGTTTTCTCTCCGCCACACCACCGATTGGCACGGTTGGCTACATACGGTGCGAAAGAAGTTCAACACACATACGAATACACGTACGTGCCTATACAGAACATGTGAAGCGCTGGTGCAATGGTTAGCATACTGCGATCTAAAACCGGCAAACAGAGTTCAACTCCCGGCCAAGGTTAACCTCAGTCGTGAGTGATGTCTGAACCGCTCCTTCACTAACCCGGACTGGCCAGAGTGATGATGTCTGGCCAAAAAATCTTCATAACCAACACAGCATGGTAGAGGGGGGGGGGGGCTTAATTTATCAGTAGATTAACTGAGGTATTTACGTGATTTCATTTATTGGCAGTGGCGGAGAAGTTAGAAAAGTTTATTAAACACGAATGCTGCTGCTGCTTCGTTTGACCTCATGGAATACCCCCACCGTGATGTATGGCATATGCCTAATACGCAACCGAAAAAAAAATAACGACGTTATTGTGACTTTTACAATGACCGGAAAAGTGCATCAGCCTTCATTTTTATCGTTACTTAGACGTATCCTTCATAATCCATTTTCCCGTTGGGCTGCGCTGATGTTTAAAAGGTCAAAGGTTGCAGCCCTGGAATCGCTCGCCACTGCTGGATGGGTATTTTGTGGCCTACTCCCCGAACGCTGGTGAGACGTCTCGGCCGAGGTCGGGAGCACCCCACACTCTACCCCACCACACGTCATGGTGTGCCTATCATCGTGGACTAACGAGTATACAATTGGCACGTATATATCTCAAATGAAAGTACAGCGTTGTGGAATGCAATTAGCATAATATTATTCACCGTGATTTGGCCATTGATTGCTGCTGGGTGGACAGTAGCGGTAAGAAACTTTCCCCAACATTTCCACTGCCGCGCTGGGAGTTGGAATCGTTACGAGGGGAGCGCCGTGCAGCCTTGCTGGACGTGACGAACGCCAGCAGCTCCGCTTGGCCACCGCCGGCGTGCGCAGGTCGCGCCCCGCAGCCGTTGCAAACACAAACATCGTCGGCCTCCTCTTTTCGCCGCCTTCGTAAATCTTCATGTTTTTTTCCTTCTGACAAGAGGTCCAAGATCTGCATCCGCCCACCCCACCCAACACCCCTCTCTGGACCCCCCCACCCCCCCCCACACGCCCCCCCCCCCAATGCCCTGCCCCCTGCCACACGCCAAGATGTATCTTTTACTTTCATCCCCAATGAAAACAACGAGGATGGATGGGGAAGTTAGGCACTGCAGAGCGATCGCGGTGTCCATCTCTCAAAGCCAACCGACGGGAACCGAAGACAACGGAGCCACGTCCTGATCTCGATGAACCGCATGAACCGCCCGCGCGTTGTCCGACGCTTCGCTGCACGCGCTGGGAGACTTTTTCAGGACGCGGTGCTGACCGAACAGCACGCGGCACAGCACGATTGGGCAGCCGCACGGCACAGCGGCGACAACCTTCGCACGCACGTCACGAGAACGTTCGGCAAGATGCGAACCTGGATGATGAAGCTGATCGGCCTCAAAATGTATTGCCCACGCTCACTACAATGCCGCTTCACTCCTCAGTGATACGCGGCTAAGCTCGCTGTAAGTGATGTTAATTTGCGCTGAACACCGCGCAGGAGAGCGACAAATATAAAGCGTAGAGGTGGTCACGTGTTGAACCCAGGTTCTCAGCAGCGCCGGCTCCGAGCGCGAAACGCTGAGTCGGCACTGTTGAGACCCTAGGTTCGAAGACAGATTTCGGCTGCCCGTGTTTAAACCACGTTAGCAAGGATCATCGCGGTTACTAATAACCGCACAAACAAAAAAGCCCTATTATATTTTATCCGTGTGTTTTGTCTACTTACTTCAGATAAATTCCACCTCTAACAATTCAAACAAATACGGGGTCTATCTGCCAAGAAACAAACATTCCACTGCAGTGGTGAGTGCGGCAAGGCGAATCACCCCGTGGGTGGAGAAGAAGCCACTGGAATGGATCGCAGGAGGAGTTCTGTGTTATCTCCTTGAACTGGACGTTCTCTTGACACGCACGGGGTGATATGCACTGCTCCCCGTGAGAGTCTCCAACAGATGCTCCCTGCCGCGGCATTGACAAGGGGAAGGAATTAGCCACTAAAACACATAAGCACACAAGACGTGAAGGCGTTGGGAGAAATGTGCGCGAGTGCGGCACGGAGTGTGCGACACGGGCGAGCAAAGCCACGGGGCAACACGCGAAGACGTTTGAGGCATCTGTCAGAATTTCATTTCAACGGCTCATGTCAGACACAGAGCTCACCTCTCGTGACAGAAATCACGCGGCAGCAACCACGCAGCGCCTGTAGGATCGGGGGATTGTGTGTAGGGGGGGGGGGGGGGTGATCGAACGAGGCAAACGCCATCAAAGGCCAGCAGTCCGGGCCGCCACGTGCTATGTGCAGCCTTTCAACGGCGCGCAGAGGCGAGCCGAAGGACGGGAGGGACGTCGTTCAGGCAGCCTCTGCGCGCCTCCGATTTGTGCGGTTGGCTACGGACGTTTCGAAAGGCGTTCACCGTACACACGTGGGTGTTACGGGAGAAGCGATTGTGCGGTTGAGCTATTGTCGCAAAGAGCACAGCCTGAATGGCTATTGGGGGATCTTTGTCTTTGCTTGCCATGCGGTGGAGAGGGAAAGAGTGCTCTTAGCATCGAGAGAGAGAGAGGGAGAAAATTGCAAATGATGATAATAACAATGCTATGTATTTACCTATCTACGAATGTATCACCGAGTTTCAATGCTCCGTTTTTAAGAGGGTCCTACACTGGGATGGTTGGCCATTTCCATGGACTGCTGTTTGGCTTTGTGTGGGAGGGAACTGGAGTTCTGCGAGAAAAGCCCACCTTGCCTATGAGAGGGATGACACTCAAAGCTCTGAAAAAGGTGGATTCACAAACCCGCTCGCTGTACTGCTACCGCCTGACCAACTAACAGCCCAATGGGTTTGGGGGTTTCACGAATCTGTGTGATCCTCCAGCCCTTGCCTCTGACCCCGTCGGTTGACAGGCACGAGAGGGAGAATGTCTGGGAGCACGGAAGAACGGGAGATGCAAGAGGACCCCGGTTTAGTGGCTGCAAGGGCAGTCGTGTAGCACGGTGGGCATCGGCCCCGGTCAAGGGGATGAAATGGGGGCCCCTTCTAAAGTATCCCGTTTCCCCCCCCCCTCCCCCACAGCCCCACTTTGTAACCCGGTGCCTGGGCCACACCCGGTGCAGTTGCACCACCGGCACACTCCGGAGCCACGCCACCGCGCGAGAGAGCACGCGGAAATGTTTTGGGGCGAGCCCGAGGGTAAGCGGACGCAAGTGGTTGGGCAGAAGCAATCTGGGAGGTTTTGAAAGCTCAGAGAGGTGGGGGAGGAGGGGTGGGTGGGTGGGGGGGGGTACTCCGACGGGTTCAGACTCAGGAGCGAGGTTCCACCTCCGCCTCTGCCCGCCCCTAGCGTCGCATCTGTTGAGTGACTTGCCGCAGCCAGCGCATCTTGGGGTTCACGCACACGCGCTCCCCCGTCTTCTTCAGCATGGCACTGTAGGCGGTCCGTCGGTCGGTCGGTCGGGGGGAGGAGAGCAGGAGGGTGAAGTTGGGGGTGGGGGGGGGAACAAAACAAAAAGACAGCAGGGAGTGAGTGAACGCGACGTCGTCACACGTTGCGCACGTGCAGCGCACTGTCAATGCACTGCCGGTTGAGGGTCGGCGGTGTAACTTTGCCGCACTTCACCGCCCTGGCTCCCTCGACGTACACTGCATGGGAGGCGCCGTCTGGACAACGGATGGTCGGTGCGTGTTGGTGAACGCGTGCGGCATGGACGGGGGGAGCATAGACGTAACGCACAACAGCACGTCGTTCTGTACAGGCCTACAACGTAGCCCCGCAACAGCCTATATGACACTTTGTATGCACGGTGGTCGAACATCCAAGCAGTGGACATCTGTGCAAAAAGGAGCTGTATAGCTCATCGGATTCTTCCAGTATGAAGAAATATTTAGATTCTGAATGTCCGGGGGAGCTTTAGTTTTGTTTTTGTCATTTACACGTTAACAGCAGTAAATCTGCAATGAGTGACCGCTGTGTGATTGTGCTGGATTTCCACTGGCACTGGATGCCGTGGAAGCATCCAACCGGCCGACCGGGACAGAGAGAGGAGGCGGGAGGGGCTTGAGCTGCGGTGCCGTGCCACGAACTCACGGGCGGCTCGGCGTGACCCCCTGACCTATGACCTCGAGAGTAAGCGACCCGACCGTTCCTTTTGTGGCCAGGGTCAGCGTGAAACTCCACCGGGGGTTACACATTTGTTCGTGAGAGATATTTCTCCTGTCTGTCTGCTCTACAGCTTTAAGGAAGTATTTATTTATTTACGGGGAGAAGGGGGGTGGAACACTTTCCTACTTAGGTTGAAAGTGAATAATAATAAAAAAAAAATTAACCGTTTCTGCCATGAATACAGGAGGTGTTAAGGTGTACAAACACCAAATAGATACCTATTACAAGGCATCGAGTCTGCATTAACTACACAGATTTGTGGTAAAACATGCCAACAAATATGCTTTGGTCGTGTAAGCATTGTCCTTGAAACTGATTGGCCTGCACCAGAGACAGCCTCTTTTGTGGCTTTGTCTCACCCTCACCAGTGCTAGATCAAAGGCTACCTGAAGGCAAACAGTACAGGGGCAATACAAACACCAAATAAGTAATAGCTCTGGTTAAATAGTTACATCTAATATCTTGATACAGGCAAAAGAGGCACGTGCATAAGGTTGCAAGTGTTTATGCATTAGCGGTGCCCGTCTGTCGGTCTGTAATGGAGTGGCACTATAGCTCATAAACAGAATACAATGTGAATGGAACCATGATTAACCTGCAATGCAGAAATTGGCTGAATTGATCAAAGGATCGTCGAAATATGTACAGACACGAACTAGAGAAAAAAAACACGATTACTTGCAAATATGTCAATGGTTTTGCTCTCATAGCTGCACATCAGCTGTTAATGAAATACCTCCAAAGGCTCCTCACAGAATCCACGCACATACATGGCTTTTCCTGAATTTATTTAAATGTGAAAACACGTAGGACTATTGGGAATGTCAAGAGTTGAACACTGTTAACTCTACAAACGTGCACACATTGGATTTCCATTCGGAGTTGAGAGACAATACAATATTCTCAAATTAAAGTTTTCCTGTAATGAACACGTAGGGTTTCGCGACCAATATTCATGGTACACGTATGGGTTTTTTTTGCATTAGATCGCGTAAATGTAAATGCGTGATGAAACCTACCTCCACAAGACACAGCCAATCAGCAAGATTGCGTGACAATCAGTTACCACTTAAGCACGGCGATAGTGGGTTTGTCTCTCTCTCTCTCACGACATTACCCCGGAGAACCCAGAGTTGCCCATCAACTGCGACGTGTCGCCTCGTTTGCATCAAACCGGCCCAGTCGTCACTTCACGAGTGTACATGTGAAGGCACGAGGCACAGGCCCTGCGGCTCCGGCCATGCAACCCGAATGACGGACCACGCAGCACAACGACTGCGGCCTGCGCTCCTGCGATGGCGGAGGGACAGCAAAGACTACGCGAGATCTCTCGTGAGGCCCTCTTGTTCGTGACCAGCAGACCTCGACGCTGGCGTTTAACAACGTGTAGCTGCTGCTGCTGCTGCCATCATGTGCACGCATAGAAGATAGTCGTCGCTTACATGACTTGGATGGGGCAGTTGACCTGCTTGAAGATGTCAAGCTTCTTGATGGTGCTGGGCTGCACGTTGCGCGAGTGGCGACACGGGCAGCGTGACTGCATGGCGATGGTGATTCCTGCAGGAGAGAGAGAGAGAGAGTGGTGCATGCAGGGAGGAGAAACGGTCAGATAAACGAGACAGGATCGTGGTTAGAATCCCACGATTACTATTCCTACGAGATACAAACATTAGTCCCTGGGCTCATAATGATCGAGTGTCCTCATTCCAAGCTAAGAACGAGGGTACACGTGGACTACAGAACGTACGCAAGTCGGACACACATTGTGACCGTGAAGAAAAGTAAGCGGCCCTGGGCAGGACGCGTCGCTGGACAGGACGATGACCGAGTGACCGAGACGATCGGCCGAGTGACAGAGCGAGGCGAGAACACACGCAAGGGAATATTAAACTACAAACTTTTTGTTATTTTACTAGGTAAGGCACCACGGAGCTATAGAACTCTTTTCAGAAGCGACCTGGCCACAAATGATGGCTCAACGAAGTGGCTTATCGTGTGGAAATTTAAAGGAGCCAAATGCTCTAGACACATCATTCTAAAAGCGGAGGACACGGAGAAAAATCCACGCGACCGCGGGCAGAGAGACACACACACTCCAACTATAAAGGTGTCAGGGTTGGGATCGAACCCACGACCTCCTGTATACCAGGCGAAGTAGCTAACATCTCGCCCCCGTGGCGATTTTTTACGTGTGTATATATGTTATTTTGCCCCTTATGTAGCCAACCGTGCTAATCGGAGGGAAATGTCTACCATGGACGAGATGGAGCGATTTAGTCCGCTCACGTGTAGGAGCTCGATTGATCGTAAAGTCACACAACCTGACGGCAATAGGAGGCCTTCATCCAGCAGTGGATCAACCATGGACGATTAAGCTTTTACATTGTTTCAAGTTGGTTCTGTATTGTTATCTATTTTTGTCCAGAAAGAAAGGAAAAAACGGTTCAGAGTAGATTAAGGGTCAGGGTTTTGTTTGTAAACGTAGCGATTGCGGACCACCGAAATCATCCAGATGCCACCACACATCCCTGTCTGAGAGCGCGATCTCTGGTATTTACCCATGGATCGTGATCTTCGTTCGTACGGCTGATGATGTAGATGCAAAGCGACAACTACAATTTCACATTCAGGTGGTCGAGCCAAACGACCGCGTCAGGGGCAATAGCGGAGTGTACTATCGCTCTGATGATGTCTCCTTCGTATTTGTGGATCGGGGCATTTCGTCGTTATACGTTGTACCGTCTGTTCTGGATGACCACAGTCGCACACTGTTGGAGAGTTTTTAATTTTCCATTTATGCATCAGCTATCCGCATCTGCCACGGTTTGTGCAGTGGATGCGGCTTAGGGTGGACCATGAGCTTCGTGGAAGGATCGTGATGCTGCACACAGACTGACCTGTCTGACCCCACAGCTAGAACCATGTCTCTAAACAGAACGAGAGTCTGCTGACTTGGACCGAGTACTCCCTCTTCAACGTAGCGTTCATCACCGTTATCGTCGTCATTATCGACATCAACAATTCCTCCTCTTTATCATCAATATATTTATCCTGCTGCTCATTATATTAATCTTTAATCATTCCTCCTCCTCCAACACCACCACCATCACAGCCGTGACTCACCTCACATGCAGATGCACAGCTAACGGCACCACAGCAGCCTCCTGAGAAAGATCCAATTGTCTCAGAGGGCTCTCAAGTGATTTTAAACTTAACTCTTCCACTTAGAGACATATAGGTAGGATGTCTTCGCCGCTGTGAGCTGGGAATCTGCAATCTTGACCCCGACTTCGCACTCAGAGTCTCTTGTCTGAGCTCAAATTAAAACCGGGCTAAATGTTGATGGGTCGGTAAACTATCAACCTTAATCTATACTCGTGCGGGATCTCACTGATACGATTGTCTCTTGCGGTGGGGGGGGGGGGGGGGGGGGGGGTACAGTACCAGGAGCTCCATCTATAGATACCCGACTGATTGCTAATGCCCCACTCACTTTATTTTCAAAATGCGATTGAATCTTGTGAAAGCGATGGCCCCATATTTTAAAGAGGACCAGAAAATGAAGGTGGTGCCATGGGTGTAGATTCACTGTGACAAAAAATGAAGGTAGTGCCATGGGTGTAGATTCACTGTGACAAAAAATGAAGGTGGTGCCATGGGTGTAGATTCACTGTGACAAAAGACAAAGATTCCCCGCACAGCCTCAACAGACTGTTGGGGCAAGTGCTGTTAACGAGCACCTATGAAAGCGTGCACGGCACACGAGAGAGTGGGTGGTCAGCACCACGTCAGACCGGCTTTATCTCCTCCGTGGCGATGTTTACACACTGCACCAAGTATTCATTTTAGGCTGAGTCAACCTAGGGGAGGTCCAGGACCGGTTCAAATCATCGTCACTGGTGTTTCTGGCCGTGAGCGTGAATCGAAGTCGGGTCTCCGAGTTCATAGCGCAGCACGCTAACAGCTACGCTACCGCTCCCCACGCGCACACACACACACACCGCGTCTATTCCAAGGACAATAGACATGAGCGTGCGCCACAACAACGGGAAGAAATAAACACGATTTACAAACGGTATCGCAAATGCTGTGCCCCGGGTTCGATTGCAGATGCAATAACTGTGAGAACGGAGGCGAGTGTGGTTGTGACTACACGAGGCCCTGCTTAACAGTCGTCAATCGTAATCTAAGAGCGTAGAATCTGTCCTACTTATTCTGGTTTGGTGGTTGTAATCGGATCACCCTGCGTACCGATTAAATCCACACCACACCAAGGGCGGCAGTCGAACCTTCACCAACAACACCACAAAGCTAGGAATACACAAACCAGTGCCGATAGACTAAGCACATCATCACGAGCATTAGCGTCATCATTTGTTGTATTAGTTAACCAGTTGAGAACTCAATGAGACAGAGACTTTCTCAAAGGGGACTCGGGTTACAGAGGCAGACACGCAGAGCAGTGGCGTCGATGTCGAGTGTGCAGGCGGTGCAACTGCGCGGGACACACGGACTGGAGGGGCCCAGGCATCTTACTAAGACGGTTGGACAGAGGGCCCCCATGTCATGTCTTGCACCAGGGCCCATGCCATACACCTGCGATTATCACGGTTAGCTACGTACGATGCGAAAGACGTTCAACATTCGTACATTCATACAAACAAAATATGGCAATGAAATATAGGCATTGTCAAAAACAATTAAGTGCACACATCAAATGTAGACATCACGAATGTTTGTTTTAAAGTATGACAAATAATCCATGTAATTATTTACAAAATACAAACATAGCAAAATCAGTGAGTCCTGGGAGGAACAGAGATAAATGATTGCATTCAAATTTTACAACAATCCGGTTTATAACAGGAAACTGTTTGGATTCGATTTTTAATTATTCAAATACTTTTATCAATTCACCTCTGGATGAATGCCTCCCTTATGCTATACATGTATCACGTGTGCCATGTAACACATGTCTCACATGTCACATGTATCAAATGTCACATGCTCCTTGATGCTGACCGTGGCCAGAAATCGAACTCGGGTAGCCAGGTTCACAGTGCAGTGCGCTAAACTTCTGCACCACCGCTCCGAACAGAAGATTTTGTAACATTATAACATTAATAAATTATGAAATACTCGAGTCTGTATGGGTACCTTGGGAAAGGTCAAATGCTGCCAGGCAGCAGACAAGGAAGCCGATGAAAAGTAGCGCTCTCATCTTGCTTCCAAATCCTCGGGCAGCACGGACTTAGCTCAGGTGAAAAGCGGTGGTGGCGGTTGTGGTCTGCAGGAGAGGGCGCTTCGAATCACGGTCGCGCGGTGTCTCCTGTGTGAAGAACGCTGTCTCCTTGCTGGCTTTTATAACCAAACGGTTGTTTGCGGAAATGTCCACTTCACTGGCAGGAGAGACGGGAGGTAGTAAATTATTTGCCTGACGTTCAAACGCCTTGGCTGTTTCTAGTCCACCCCCCATCCATCCCCCCACCCCAGACCACCTCCCACTGCCCCCTCACCTCACCCCCACGCTGAGACAGATTTAACTTCCCACCCCCTGGGGTTCAGCAATCCCAGCGGGATGGCTGATACAGCCAAAGTAACTGGCACTGGGACTCGTACATCTAAGCCAACATAATAAAGCCCAGAAGTTTGGTTCCAACTTCAAACATGAGAACGGGGGAATAACACTCAGCATTTTTAATCAAATTAATCAATTTATTTATTGCGTGTGAATATTTTATCGTGCGCACTTATGTGCAATTGAAAACAGGTTCACAAACTAAGCACTAGCAAATTGCACATGGCTTGCGTGCGCCCATGACCAAACCAGCCGGAACGAGCCTGATCTTGTCAGACCTCAAAGGCTAAGCAGGGGGCGAGCCTGGATATTGTTCGGATGGGCAACAACCGCGCGTGTCCGGTTGTCACAGGTGTAGCCACCTGTGCGTCACAGTGTGTGTCACAGGGTGTTTGTAGTGTGATAGTGGGGAGCGATAGTGTAGCGGTTAGCGCGCTGCGCTATGAACCTGGCGACTCGGGTTCGATTCCCGCTCACGGCCAACACCAGTGATGATTATCTGAACCGGTCCCGGGCCTCCCCTAGGTCGACTCAGCCTCAAATGAGTACCTGGTGCGGTGTGTAAACATTGCCACTAGGGAGACAAAGGCGGTCGGGCGTGGTGCTGGCCACCCACCCCCTCGCTAACAGCACTTGCCCCTACAGTCTGTTAAGGCTATACGGGGGATTTGTCTTTGTAGTGTGATAGGCTCGACCCTCCACGAGTCCGCTCGCCATCGAGACACCGCGCGTGTCGCGTGTGGAGCAACTTGCCACACTCGGACTCGTCAGCGGTACCAGGGTATGCGTGAGGAACGGTCTCGAGCCCAGACACCGATAACCACTTGCCCGTTGCCGAACCCCCGCCGTTCGTCTTGCCGGCTTCGAGCTGCCCGCACCTCCAAGTAGCGCGGTTCGCTACGTACGGCGTGAAAGAAGTTCCACATACGTACTGCCACGCCACTATTGTGAAAGACCCAACGCAGAAGATCCCTGGGTTTGACCTTCCACGAAGCGCATGGTCCACCCTCATCCGCATACCCACAAACCGTGGCAGATGCGGATACCTGATACACAAAGAGAAAACAAAATCTCTCCCGTGCGCGACTGTTGTTGTTGCTCGGCGTCTACATCAGAATAAGAAGAAGATCGGCGCGCCGGTCATGATGGGTCCTGCCCAGCCAGGCCCATACCGTGCGCCAGGGTCCGTGTGGGGCCAACGCCCCCTCTACACCTGGGACCAGGGTTGTGATCACAGCAGACCGTGTCATGGCCACCAATGATAGCGCATGTGGACATTGATGGTAGGCCTCGGCAAGGTAAGGTAAAGGGTAAAGGTGTCGACATGCCAAGGGGTAAGGTAAAGGGTAGGGTAAAGGTAGCTCGGAATAATTACCCGGTAGGGTAAAGGTAGCGCAAATACGGTGCCTTGTTTACCGCTAAAAGCTCTGCGGCGCAGTCCGTGGCCTCCATTTAATAAGTAATATTTAAAAAAACTTTTTTAAAAACACGCTGTTATGAAATGTACCCTACTAGTAATGGCAGAACTCTACGACTCCAAGAGGTGGCCCCGAAGTTTGCCACAACGTCAGGGGCCGTGGCCAATTACAGCCATCGTCAGTTAACAGTGGACAATTAGTCCCAAGCCGAAACATAACATATACAAAAGAATGTTTAAAAATATTTTTTTAATGATAGAATATAGTTTTGTCATCAGTAAGACATAAGTATACCAAGTTTGCAGTCGATACCACCTTGGGAAGTGGGTTAAAAATGAATTACAAGATTGAGGATACAACAACGACAACAGAGTGAGTTTAAAGAAAGCGTGTAAAATTAGAATCATCGAGAGTATTCTATATGAATTAAGCGCTCTACCTAGCATTTACCTGTTATAAACCTTTTTCATGTGTAGTACCCCAGTAATTACCCTGTAATCGGGTAACCTTTTACCTTACCTGCTGAAGGGTAAAAGGTATGGTAGAGTGATTGTATTGTGGTAAGGTAAAAGGTAGGGTAAAGGTAGGCTCGTTGTTTTTACCTTTTACCTTACCTTGCCGAGGCCTAATTGATGGCAGTTAAATACTTTAAACGCGGGATGTTGATTCTAAATGTGGAGGGGAAAAAAACGGATGGCCGGGAGAATAATCCACGCGACCACGGGGAGAAAATGCAAACTCCAACTATAGAGAGCAGGCGTCAGGGTGGGGATCGAACCCACGACCTGCTGCATACCCGGCGAGGTAGTTGACATCTCGCCACCGGATGATGACCGCTTGTCGCCGCACGTTGTCCAAACAGTGGCGCCTGACCGGGTACGACGGTGGGCCCTAGTCCCTCCCTCCGCGCTGCTGATGGAGCGGCTGTCGCCTGGCTCGGCAACACGAGCACACGGTACTCATGACGGTCATAATCACATGCGGCTTTAGGACTGTGCTACGTTATGGGCAGGTAGAGGGCAGGCCAGCAAAGTCCATTATTGTACTGTGCTTCTATGCTCCTACGTTTATGCTTCTTGCCGTCACCAAACCGTATTGACCAACGTGGGGAAGTATGGTCAAATAAAGCAGCACGTGACCTGCACGGTGTGGGGAAGCCCTCATCCAGGAGTGGACGTACATACAGGCCTGTGCATGTTTGTAAGCACGTACGTATGAGGCATGTACTCCAGCAATTAGCACGAGGCAACATTGGCCCAGTTGGCCGTGTTGTTAATCGCGTCGTTTAACACATTGTACACGCGCCTTGCACACGCAACGACGAGAGCAACCCCGTTCGCCACTTGCAAGGAACATTCATGGAGCGTGACGCTCAGATATCGATGAGCATTTTTGTACACGGACGGGTGCACGGTGAATGGCGGATGGGATTGGTGAAATTTCACGTCGCCTCTTTCGGTTGATATCGAGAATTTACCCCCTGCTCAACCCCCCCCACGCCCCTCTCACACTTTCCACGTCCCTGCACGCAGCACGTCTTGTGTCGCTGGTGGTGATTATTTGTTTATAGGTAACCGTGGCGATCAACCCTCTCGCGAGGTGCTCTTCCAAACGGCTGGATACGATCTTGAAAATCCGGTCCCTGGCACCCAACCAGTTCTCGAGTCCTCGGTTCGAGATGCAGCGTGGGATATAATATCGATCGCAGGCCCCAGTCACATCTCAGGGCGTCTCGATATTCTTTCCAAATGGACGTCATCCAAGTCTCCTGTTAGAAACCGGGGTGAGACATTTTTTTCTGAATCCTCACAGAACGGCGCTTGCCTGTTGCAGAACGGCCCGCAGAAGCAGACATGACAGAACAGCTTTCTGAGATATGTTTTGGTGGCCTTTCCCCCACACATTAGCAGGGGGGGGGGGTGGTTGGGAGGTAAGTTTTAACACACCGGACTACAGATAAATGCTCAATGCATAGCGGTCAATTTATTAATGTAGATAAATCGAATTAAAATTTACTTAACGTTACGTTTGTTTTTTGTGCAGTCATTCGTGTCCGGGCCGAGTCCATCAGCTCACCACAGCAGAGCATCCAGCGTTACCAGAGGCGGCTGAAACTCAAGGTCGCAACCAGAATTATGTTTCTGACTTCTGAGTCACTCCGCCACCGACTCTCGCAAACATTTGGACAAGTTGCCCATCTGTCGTTCATTTGAGCTGTGTTGAGATAATTTCCCAATAACCGTTCGACCTTCTTGGAATGCGTAAGATAAGCATAATTCAGTACAATACCAGCAATCTCTGCATAACTTAAGGATTTGTTCATATTTATTGATGGGAAACATTCTGAATGTAGCCATCCTCTCAAAGGAGCAATGATGAAGTGTAAAGACATATTTACATATCATTTTTATCTGGAGGGACTGATGTATAATGGCGAGCTATCTTCTGCTGATTGATATTGCTACTTATATTCTTCTCCGCAATGGGACAAATATTTAATGCGTGCGTAACATCGGGGAGGTTCTCGCGATGCACAGGGGCCTCGGACTGACGATTGTTCTGTTGGAAGCAGCAGCAGCACAGCAATAATAATAATAACTCTAGCAGCAGCACAACAACAATAATAACTCTAGCGGGTCCCGCGCGCTCGCATGGCCCCAGTCCAACTTCACGGCATCAAAACAAGGCAGAGTCGCCGACTGCAGAGGGTCTGCCGTTACTCACTCCTTCCCGCGAATCTCAAAATCTGCACAGCCGTACACATTTCTCTCGGTTTACGGGAAAAAGGGTTTCTTTATTTATTTCAGATATTTATTTAACAAAACACTTCCAACCCTCTCCAGACTTTCTGAGATTCATCCCTTTGCCAAGGTTCCCGGTGTCACCCGACGGCCACGAAAACCCACAACGCTCGCGATCGCGGAAACACAGCCCCGTGCTCGTGTCGGCTTGATTTTTAAACGTCGAACACGGTCGCAAGCCCCTTGCCAAACCACTGCTGGATTGAAGCCCCCGCCCACCTCCCCTCTCTCCCACAGTATGCCAGTCATGGGAGTTGTTTTTCTTGTTGTTTAACTCAAGATTTTAAACTCATTTCTTTAGCATTGCTTTTGGTGTGTAGTTTAGTTGTCCTGCTACCGCACCTCCGATTATTTACCACGCTTGGCAACGTACGGTGTGACAGAAGTTCAACGTACATACATCTTCTTCAGAAAAAAATATAGAAAGCAATGCAGAACCAAGTTTAAAACAATGCAAAAGCTTCATCGTCCATGGTTAATCCACTGCTGGATGAAGGCCTCCCAAACCTGTCAGGTTCTGTGACTTAACGCTCCATCGAGCGCCTGCACACGAACGGACTCAATCGCTCCATCACCGCCACGGTGAACATTCCCCTCCGATGAGCACGGTTGGCTGCGTA